GGGGGGGGGGGGAATTAGGCCTTTTTTTAATGGCACAAGCTGGTCGGGTCGAATCGCTGCGTAGCGCTCAATGGTTATCATTGAGCGCTACTGTCTGCTCGCCAAATATTTAGTCCTATACAATTTTACAAAACAAAAATATTTTATTTAAACTAATTAATACTTCGTCCTAATTGGAAATTCAACCTGAGACCTCTTGGTCGCTGTTCCCTCATGCTACTAATTATTTATCAACATATTATGAGAAAATAAATAACAACAACACGACTGCCTCGTTGGCCGAGTGGTAGCAAGTGCGGCTGCCGAGCAAGGGGTCTCGGGTTCGATTCCCGGGTCGGGCAAAGTATTACTGGGTTTTCAAAAAATTCTCAGTAGTAGCACGGAGTCTGGAATTGTGCCCAATATGGCAATAGGCTCACCCCCTATTACATGGGACTCATAACTTACATTAATGAAAAGTGGGTGTTACATTGTACAGTGGCATAATGTGCACCTCTGCCTACCCCTTCGGGATAAAAGGCGTGATGTTATGTAATGTAAACAACATACAAAAAAATATGAAGGTCTACTCATTAATCAATACACGACACATTTTAAATAATAACCAATTGATGTCTATTAAAATAATTATACGTAGAAAGAACAATAGAAGGCATTATATTATTACTATTAAGTAATCACGAGGTTGGAGATCGCTCGTAGCAAGGACAGCGACACAATCTGTATTAGATTACACTAGAACTATATACTATATCTAATCATCGTACAAGATGCCTTCGAGATCTCTGTAAATGCATAGTTTTAGTTACGTACGCGATATTATGTAATTCTATCGTAGTAGTGTATTGTACGCCTTGAATGATAAGTAAGAATTAAAAATAAATTACCAATGATGACTTTAGAATTGACCAGTGCCGCTCTCACGCAGTCCACAGAGGTTCCCAAGCTGCAGTAGCCATGCGCATCAGGGGGAGAAACCTGGAATATTCGAAACAATAATTATTAATACTACCTCGTTGGCTGAGTGGTCGCAAGCGCAACTGCCGGGCAAGGGGTCTCGAGTTCGATTCCCGGGTCAGGCAAAGTATTACTGGGTAAAAAGTGCCCGGTATATGGCCAATAGCCTCACCCCCTATTACATGGAACTCATAACATAAACAGTGAAAAGTGGGTGTTACCATTGGCAGGGGGGCCCTGCCTACCCCTTCGGGGATAAGAGCCGTGATGTTATGTTATGTTAATTAATTTGATATTTTATACTACCTAAGGACTAAACAAAAATACATTATGTGTAGTTCTTATAGACATCTCTTTCTAATTTTCGTTGGTTTTTGGCTTATAGTATTAAAAATGGACTTCAAATCGTTATATTAAAAGGAAAATTAACAAGTTGAAGCGCCAATTATGACTCCATACCATAGTGACTGTATCAATGGTTAGAGTAATCATGATATTGCACGTCGCAAGAGTCCTAGTGACTGTTTTCAGGGGCGTAGCTAGCTCCGTATCTGCCTTATCAATTATTTCGGGCCCCAGACTACGGGGCCCCCAACGTGTGTAAGCAATAATATAAAAACTTCTCAATTTATATTTTACTAGCGACCTCCCCCCGCGGGTTGTTTCGCACGGGTGCAATATGCATTTATTATACATATAAACCTTTCTTAAGAATCAGTCTATCTATTAAAAAAACCGCATCAAAATCTGTTGCGTAGTGTTAAAGATCTAAGCATACATAGGGTCAGACAGACGGCGGATAGCGACTTTGTTTTATAATATGTAGTGATTTCAGAAATCACAAAATGCGTTCAAAGGTTGGCAGAAACTATGGAATTTGGAAATGCTAAATTATTTTATTTATTTAAACTGTCAAACACCAAGCGGTCACCGGTGACCGCAACCTATTGTTCTATAATTGTGTCTACAAAACCGGTACTCGACGAGTTAAACTTTAATGTACACACAAACAAGTAATGGTACATAAGGCGGACATTAATGCCATATGGCATTCTCTCCCAGTCAACCTTAGGGTTAAAATGGAAATCGGCGAAAAAATAGGCATGTGTAATTATTGGAAACAAGTAACATAAATAGACTTTATAAATATAGAACGGTACTAAAAATATTTAAAATTTACACTACAATATAAATACAACATAAATATATAGGTATATATATGCATGCTCATATATATGTTTGTATTTATGTAAATATACTAAATAAATAAATTCTATAATAATACATATATAATAGTAATAGACCTAGACTCAGCGTTGTAGTGACTTTAAAAAGAATTCGTGAACATCGCGTTTGAAAGTGATCTTATTTGGAGCCTTTTTTATTTTAAGCGGTAATGCTAAATTACGTAATCATTGTCCGATGATTTGGGCAGAGGAGGTATTTTATGTGAAAAAATCTCTCCTGAGAAATTTTTACCTTTCATAAGGGCCCCCAAACAAATTTTTATACGGGGACTCCGTCAAGATACGTTACGTCACTAACTGTTGTGTAAAGTAATATTGTGTTAAAACGAACCTGGATAACAGCAATGTCGGGCTGGATGATCTTCCTGTGGAATAGCTTAGGAATGTCTTGCAGGAATATGGGGATGGCGTCTGATCGTCCCTCTGCCACTGACTTGCGGACATTTGCGGCCATGAACAGAGATACAGATCTGAAATTGAAATGTGGAATTAATATTTTTATTAGCAGTTGGAACAAGTACACTGCTGGATCCTTATGTATTTCACATAATGCCCATAACGCCCGGTTGGTGGGAGGTTTGGGAAGCGTAGTCAGTTCATCAACAACTTTGAAGATGCTGCACCTGGGATATTGGATGATTTTTTCTCAGAGGTTTTTATTTTTTATCCACTGTAGGTACCTTGTGCAACTGCACAAGCATAGTAAATACTCCTTTCATTCAAGCCAACGCAAAAGCCATCGAAGTTTATTAATGACTAGTTGTTTGCGTAGAATATGAATTTTAGGGCAAATATTTTTTTGTTTCTATTTTCCAAAATAAAAATAGCCTCTGTTACTATTTAGTGGCTTAGTATATCAACCGCCTGCCAATAAAAGTCCCGTCAATGTTGGTCTAGCCTTTCCAGAGGATACTTACTTCTTTATAATTCCAGTACAAATAGACAGACAAAATTATAAAAAAAAATATTTTGGTATGTTTATCGTATATCGCGGTTATTTTAATATTACAAACTGTTACAGTAGTCTGTTAGACGGTTTTTAACTTCCATCTACTTTAGGGATTCGTTTGATCCAGATCAAAAACAATAAAGTCAAGTTTTAATTGCAGTAGTCACTATACAAATAATTGCACATCAAACTATCGCTGTCATTCAACAGATTATCAGCCTTATTGTTCTGTAATAAAGCCTATATCTATTGAAGAAATACTGCCTAGAGTAAATCGAACTTCTAACACAATATATTGTACTTATAGCAAAAATCAACTTATAGCAAAAAGTAATAAGGTCGAAAATCAAAGTAGCGTTTATCTAATAATGTTAGAAGTAGTAAGATAATAATAGTTTATCGTTTAATAGCGTGTTATTAGTGTAATCACTTATCATTTACTCATTTTGGCGTTATCAATGACAATTAATACTTAATCTGTGTGATAAGGTTATCATAGGCTCATCTCAATTACAGTAGAAGAAACGTTAGAAAGACTTAGGCCTGGCGCCCACTATCGGCATCGGCATCTTACATGCAAGTGCACACTGTCGGAAACTATGCTTTAGCATGCTGGAACGCTCTTAGGGATGACGAGGCGTCGCGGAGAACCTAACGGTTAACCGGGGCTCCGACTCGAGGTGCAGGAGAAGGAACGGGGTGGCTTTTAGTCAGTAAGAGTCTGACACTACCTCCCGCCTCACCCAGGCGGGAGCAGTCATTCGATAATTTTCCCCCCTTAAAAAAAAAGGGATGATGAGGCGTCCTTAAGCATAGCGCACCGTCCTGAAGGATACCGCACCATCTCGAAGCATGCCGAAGCATCTCAATATCGTATTTCTCGTCATAACAGTCTTAGAGTTGTTACAAGCTAGTTGTCGGAGTTGTATTTAATATGGTGGACTGGGATTTAGTGCTCATAGCAGCTCTTGTCGAAGAAGAAGAGAAATCTAATCAATCAAGCCGGTGGCCGGAGGATGCCGAAGCATCCCGAAGGTTTCTCAAGGCTCCCAATACAGCAGCCTCAAGCATACCGAAGCAGTATTTTTGTTATTACCACCATATGCATGGCAATTTCTACTTTATTGCCACTATGATAATGTATATTGCTATTTGATTTGCCACCTAAATCCTTAGACGTCCCGGTACCGATAGTGGGCGCGTGGCTTTACACATAAATCAAGGTTTGCTAGCGGTTTTGAAAAATCTTCTAACTGCCCTTAAAACTATAATTGGGCTCAACTTCCAGATCGACCTGTTAGAAGTTCAGAGGTAAAAGAGACCTAGTCCGGCATTCTGATTGGCCGGCTCCAATGAACCAACCAATCAGAGCACCGAATGCGGTCTCGTTTTATTACTATAAACGTAAAACAAACTTGTACTAAGCTCTCAGTCGATGTCTCTTAATAGAATAATGTCTCCTGATTGACTTCGATCAAAGCCAATCTGTTTAATTAGACCAGCCCACTACGCAGGGCATATTATAGTGCACAAGTGTGTGCGCTCACACAGACGCTCTCAGTTCCCTCACTATCGTATTCCCTTTGGGACGGTAGTTCGACATGACCTGTGAGGTCAAGCGCAGGACCATTAGGCTTTTCACATTTTTTTACGGGATAACCCGGTAAACGAACGGACGGATTTACTGATGGTAAGCAATCCAGCCAGTGGACACCCGAAACACTAGAGACGTTACAGGTGAGTTGCCAGCCTTTTGGGGATTACTTAGGGATGTAGTAATTTGAGGTTTGTTGGGGATTGAGGAGAGAGTAACTGGGCCTCCGGTAACCTCAGTTACACGGTGAAACACAACGCAAGCGTTGTTTTAGGTCGGTTTTCTGTGAAGCCACGGTATATGCCCATTCGTGCCGAAGCATGGCTCTCACACGCTTAGAAAAATTTTTACAGTCATTTGTACCTACATATATCTATCTTATCATCTGCACGTTAGCAACACAAAATATCATGACAGTATTATCTGACATCTGCGGTCTCAGAGTAACATGATTGGAGATTTCAATACTTTGACACTCGTCGATAAGTCGATAACATATTATCAAACTTTAAGATCATATGGATTATTCTGAATGTCATACCCAAGTAGTAGATCCCTATTATAGGTACGTAAGGGTGTGTCCACATATGGCGAATTTACCGCAAAAGGGCAGCAATACTATTCTCTAAGAAATAGTTTTTAGGCTGTACGCTGCGTCGAATTCGTCGACGAGACAGCTCGCGCGCCGTTTGCGAACTGCACGCGGCTGTGGGCGTGCAGTTACTGCAATGATATGGTGCTCAACTAACATAACGTTCGTATAAATAAAAATTATATTTTCAAAGTGGCGCACCAAATTATTGCCGTGACTGCACGCGCGCAGCTCGCAAGCGGCTCGCGATCTGCACATTAGGGGCACATTCGTCAGATGTGGACGCACCCTAACATACCTTTATAAACAACTAGTTGGCTACGACTTTGTAATTATTTAAGTATTTTGTATACCTAGCTAAAAAACCTCTCGATGACTACTTCAATGTTTTAATTTTGGATAAAATAAACCTTTTAATCTTTTCTAAAAGCCTGTCCATTTGTTATTCATCATTATCTTTCATCAGCATCAATGGCCCGTGGCAGTCCACTGCTGGAGGACGGGGCTCTTCTACATACATAATATGAGGGTTTGCGGCGGTTATCGGCGGGATGCAATCTTTAGTACTTACATTCATGTTTTCGAGAGAAAGTAAGTAATAAACGTTTTAAACAGGAAATATCGGTTGTGGATATTCTTTTTCTTTTTGAATATTACATTGCTCCATTTTTTCAGGATTTTCTCCTGTGTCGTGGGTGCGTTTACAAACATACAGTTCACACACACATGACACCCAGACCCGAAATAATCACACAAAGCGTTGCTCCGTGCGACAATCGAACCCGCTACACGATGCACGGCAACCGGTTACCCAGCTACCGCGCCAACTGTGGAGTCGATCCAGGTCCAGGGGGCTTACTGTTGAATCCAATTCTGATCGATCGACATTGGTATTGTGAAATTCCGTAATCTTGAGTTGTAACACTAGCGCCCATTGCATCCGTATTGCGGATATTGAATTCAAGAGTAAGCACCCAGGTCGTCTATTAGTATGTAATACTTTTTACAACATGTAGCAAGCTTTATTACATGGGAGTGTCCTTTTATCGTACATCGTATCTTTGATAAGGATTCAGTTAAGCAGTAAAAAGTCAAGGTTATTATTTTTAAATTGCCCTAAAGTCCTACTACATCTCTTGTGGCATTTTTCGCACTATCATGGCTAAAAGTAAATTCTATGATATTATTCCAATCAATGTTTGTAAGACAAACATAAAATTTTTAAAAGATGTCACATTAAACCTTTTTCCCAGGGATTAGATATCGCTTTATGGGTCATCTATACTGTGCAAAATATCTACCTATGTATATAAAAAATATTGATTTTGTATCCTGTTCAAGTGTTCTTGTCCAAAAAATATTTCACCATATTATTATTATTAAGTCTAGTATTCTTATCTTATCTATGACAATGTATATTCAGCGCATAATAATTTCTGAATTGCACTGAATATCATGATTTCAGCTGCTAACAATTTTGGTGTACTTAAGTATAAGTATGTAATTGGCTAGTTTCCTAGGTTTAAAATAAATTGTTTCAACTTGTCAATGCAACAAATAATTTCAAAATAATCATCCATTGATTTGACAATTTACCTACTTTTGGATTTTTTCTCGCTAATTTTAAGGAAATAAGTATGCTATTTGACGCAGAAATATGATGACGTCATAAGTAGCGATCCAATACAAAATTCATAGAAAAGTATCGTTTTTGAAATTTCAATAAAAGTATTGAATTTGATTACCTGTCATCTACCGTATTGTACCTACTACTATTAAATAACTGAGTATATTGACGATAGGTGCACATCTAATGCCTTGCGGGCCCATACCAAGTGACAAAAATAAAAAAGTAGATGAGATTTATTGAAAAAAACCCAGTAATACTTTGCCCGAGCTGGGAATCGAAACCGAGACCCCTTGCCCGGCAGTCCCCCTTCGACCACTCGGCAAACGAAGTTTTATTTTAAGGGGGAGAAACTATCGAATGACTTCTAAGTACCGTCTGGGTGAAGCGGGAGGGAGTATCAGCCTGAAAGGGTGGTACCAACCTGAAGATGTCTTGGCACTCAGGGGCGACATATTGGGCTTCCTTTTCCGTGTGCATATGGACAACTTTGATGCCCTTCATCCCGCCACTTTTGCCAACATCTGTCATGGCGTGTAGAAGAGGCACCGGAGTCGCGGCCGCGCCCTGGACGAATACAGTTTGACCTGGAACATTGAGAAAATAAAGTTTAATTATTGTGAAACTGTTTTACAACTTTCGCGTGATATGTTTAATTAACAGTTTGGCTGTACAGGCGAGTATGAGCCCCGAGTGTGGCTTGAAATTAGTTGAGTGATCTCAAACAGTTACGTAGGTTTACGTAAGTCAAAAGTGGGCTGTAAACCAGAAATTATGTGAAATAATTGTATATGTATATTAATTATTTAATTTCCATGTTATTCGATTTAGCGAGAAAAGACAATATGAGGAGTCTACACATTTGCTTAAAATAACTTCATTGCCAGTTCCGAAAACGACAAACGAAAAACATAATGGAAATAAATTATGAGTTAATTTGAATGGGTAATAATGACCATAATCATGTTAATAAAACGTTACGAGCGACGTAATTAAACGGAATTACCAATTTCAATTTTAATACAGTCTCACGTAAAACTACCCCAAAATGTTACATTTCTTCAATAGGAATTCGACTTTATTCAACAAAACAATAGAGTTGGAAAACATCTGATAGTTTGAGGTATCTCAATGTGCTGTTGGTACTTGGGCATTTTATGTTCGTCGTATCATTAAGTCAATGCATCAGATAAACGGCTTACGACCTTTCATGACGTTTGCATTTGTGTAACTTGCAATCTTTGAGGTAAACACCTGGTTCTATACTTATCTTGATGCTTTTACGAGATGCTACTGACTTTTTTATGGAATAGGAGGCAAACGAGCAGACGGATCACCTGATCGTAAGCGATCAACACCAGAGGAGTCACAGGTGCGTTGCCAACCGTTTAAAAAGGAATACGCTCTTTTCTTGAAGGTCGTATCGGTTTCGAAATACCGCCGACCGATCATTCCACAGTTTTGCTGTGCGAGGCAGAAAGCTACGTGAGAAGCGCACAGTTGTGGCCTGCCAACTATCTATATGATGGGGATGCATATGCATAAGTATGTTACGAGCAATATCGTATTTTCTCTGTTGCTTGTAATTATACACCCAGGTTACCTAACCATACGGAGGAAGGTCTAATCGGTTGTCGGGGCGCCGGCTCGAGGAGCAGAAGTAGGAACGGGGTGGTTTTTAGTCGGTAAGAGTCTGATACTCCCTCTTACCTATCCCAAGGCGGGAGAAGCCATTGGATGATTATCCCCATCAAGAAAACGTTACCTAACCATTGTTAGTCAATCAACTTAAAGAATTCTTGATTTAAATACAGTGTTTAACACGCTAATATCTGCTCTAAAATGTATTTAAATCGGTTCAAATAAAGAATCTAGTATAAATTTTCTTAAAACATTTCACTTTTTTTAAAATTTTATTTATTTTAAACGTTTCGACTTAATAAATATCACAATAAAACTGTGGACAACATTTTTTGTAAACTTCTAGAACTCCTAGCGCTTCTAAACCTCCTTTTATTTAATTTAAAGGCATCTTTTGTATTGTAATTTTATTAAGCAATAGAATATTATTCCAATTGTCATTGCACCGGAAGAATAGTTCAACAATACTTACAAGTTAAATTATTATCTGTGCCAGTTCATAACTACATTAATTATCTGTTTACTTACTCGATACTACGTTGACCCTACTAATGTCGTCATTTCTTAATAAGTTCAAGAAACATTGACTTGGCCAATCATTAATTCATTATTGACGTGCATTACGCATATAAAATTCGTGTTATTTTTATCTTTTGAAAAAAAACAAGATGGCTACGTTACTGCTTTAGTTAATTCATAATTAAAATAATTATAAATTAACAATCGAACGAATAAAAGGTTAGTAATAATGGTCGCTCTACGTGTCATTTTCTTTTCTCCTAAGGTATATCTCCCGTATATTTAAATTACTTCAATTTAATTCAGTTATTTAATCTTCAAACCAATGTGGCCAGGTACTTAAATATTATTATCATAATTTGGATAAGTATCCAGACACGAAGTAGTCTTTACGTACGAAATACATTAAAAATATTATAAAGAATGATCTCACACATTGGTGAAGTCAAAATGCTACAATAACCTTGACTTTGAATACGCGCCGTGCAGTAGTCTCGAAATAGTTTAAAAACAAACATGTTTCAAATCTAATAAAAAATAAATTCACGATCGAGTTTTCAGAGAGACTTGCAAATTACTATGTGTAATTCTGTCATTATTAATGGCCCATATTGTCTAACTGAATCTGTTCTGTCGTATCGGTTCAGTATCAAGTGACTATCAATCTGTCTGTCTTTACATTGTCCTCACATACTTATGTGACGTACAATATTGGAATGTGTATCAGAGACATTGTAAAACAGAATTTTTAAAAAGAGTAACGAATTGAAATTCATGCTCGTTCTTCTCCACTCGAATCTACATTTTGGAATGAGCGCCTAGCTTCACAGACGGATAAACTGACAGACTATTATTTATTTTATATTTGTTAACATTTCAAAAGTACCAAATTGTGGTTTAATTAAAATAAATGCTTTTGAGTTTGAGTTTATCAGAGCCACACAATAACGATGGTATTCAATATACAAAACTTCATTTGGCCAATTAATCCGACTACTGCTGATCATAAGACCTCTCCAATAATACGCCACTAATTTACAACTTAGCAGGCTGTCTAAGAACGTAAGAATCTCGAAATGGTCAACCATTACAATGACGAGTCACTTTGAACTTAATTTCAATGAGATTAAGAACACACAAGTCCAAGGTTGTTACCAAGTCTTTTAATGCCACCTCACCTCTGTTGAAGCCACATTCTCGTATTGTTTATTGTTATTTTATGCGCACAAACAACTGAATACCTAAAGCAAAATGAATTAATTTATAGATAAATAAACAGCTGAACTTGAACTAGATACAATCATTACGTACACAAGTGGTGTTATCGTATGCATCGATAACTACTCGTACTTAAGTGGATTTCCCCTTTTTTTGTTAAGTAGCTTTAGCGTAATGCATTTATCTACGTAGATCCATAATCCATTGGTAGTAACTACAAATAATGTGTAACATGCTGTGTTTGGAAGGTTTTTTTTAAGGGGGGAAAATCATCGAATGGCTGCTCCCGCCTGGGTGAGGCTTGAGGGAGTGTTAGACTTGGCTGACCAAGTCTGAGTCAAGAGTCTGAACTCTTACTCTGACTAAATACCACCCCGCTCCTCCTCTTGCGCTTCGAATCGGAGCCCCGTCAACCCGTTAAGTTCTCCACGACGTGTTTGGAAGGATAGATTAGTCAATCAACAAATCTTCTTTTGGTATCAAATCACGCTACTTCAATCACACGAATTTGTTTATTAGTCTGTAATTATTTTTTCTTGTGTCTCCTTAGAACACGTGTACAGTTGTACACGTACGTACTGCCACAAGCGCTTTGCATATATGGTTTCTGCGCAAAAACTACTAAGCTGATATAAATTAAATCTGACATGTAGACGTTGACCTATACCAGCCGTTCGCAACATTCGAGGGTCACTCTCCAGTACCCTCTAAATCAAAACTTTCTGTGATCAAACCCCGATCCCAAGTCACCTGCCGGACGTGGGAATATGGTGTATCCTCAAATAAAGAGGATGGCTTTTGTTCAACAGTGGAAGTCTTTTAGCTGATAAAGTATACGAATACAGCCAACTGGCTCTCTAGTATACATAGGTACAATATTATTATGCAACTGCTACTTTATTACGCCAATAAATTGGACTTTTGCACTGATAATAGTTTTAATGTCATTGATTTCATATCACCTTGTTACTAAATGCTATCGCTGGTGAATGACCGTCAAAAGACCGCTAAAGAATCTTCGATGAGAGACGTGGTAACAATATATTAAGGTTAAACAAGTTTATTATGATTATTCAATTGTTTCATTATAAAATTGAACTGTGGACAGTGTTCAATTTAAATTCGATAAAAGAAAAGATAAAGAAGAATGGGAAAATGAGACAGAATTGTCCAATTACAAATAACTTGGAATAATGTAATTGAATTATTTGCAAATTACATATAACATCAGAGACCGTAGTACGAGTAATTGTAACGAGTACGCGTTCGGCACCGTGATTGGCCAGCTCCAATGACCCAACCAATCAGAGCGCCGGACAAGGTTTCGTTCCGATTACCTACTTTAAACATAAAACAAACTCGTACTAAGACCTCTGTCTGACCATGAAATATCAATTCATTGTTGTAGATGTGCCATATTGAAAGTCAATGACTTTCATTACATCATTTCTGTGATATATAGGTGGACCCCTGTGTCATTGCGTCCCATTTGTATCAATTGAGATAATAGGCGTGTCGTGCATTCCTAGGATACCTCTATTGAAACTAGAGAAGTACGATTTTAAATCTAGGTTAACCGTTAAGCTAGTTTTTTTATGGGATATGTCGATAAACGAGCTGACGGACACCAGAGGCGTCATAAGTGCGTTACCGGCCTTTCGGGATTAGGAATTTGAGGATTGTTGGGGATTCAGGGATGTTTTACGTCAGTTTTCTGCTTGTCGGTGGTATCACTCGGGTGGAGCCGGCCCATTTGCCCACACTTCGTACGCTGGTAAGCAATATCTGATCATTGAGTGTTATTTTACGTCATTTCAATAGGGTTGATAATCTTAAGTGATTTTTTCTACATAATATAAAGAAGGTAATTTTGGTTTCAAGGTTCAAAAGTGGTCCCTCAGACTTCAGAGATTGTGTTCATTTCATCTTGTCTGTGTATGATTGCATGAAACAATAATAGAATATTAACCATCATAGTCTACCATAAAGCATCGGTTTTCCTTTAATACTAAACCACCATATTTTCCCCTTTTTACATCAATTTCTACTTTAAAAACAACTCTAAATAAAATAGGTGCCTTTTTTTTAAGGGGGGAAAATCAACGAATGACTGCTCCCGCCTGGCTGAGGCGAGAGGGAGTGTCAGACTCTTACTGACTAAAAACCACCCCGTTCCTTCTCCTGCACGTCGAGCCGGAGCCCCGGTTAC